AGCATGTCCATGCACAGCCTTTTTAGTTAAGAAAAATGGGAGGGGTCACGCGAGTGACAGTCAAACTGAACAGTCAAACTGGACTGGCATGGCTAAGATAGTGTCAGGGATGGTGGATGAGAAGGCGGAGAAAAGGGCAGGAGGAAGGATTGCTCAGAAAGCTGGTGAATAAAGCTGCTGATCAATGTGTGAAATAATGTATCTTGGTGCTTGAGAATGGCACAGTGTATGGAAATGCAAAAATTGATTTTGCTATTACTACCACCATGAAGACGAAGAATGAGTTTTCTTATAAACCTTCCTTTTACCATACTTTTCCCCTCATTCTCAATTCAGAATTTTTGTAGAGTTGGCAGTCAGAATTTACATGATTATGCCCATAAATATTATTCATGGCTAAGCCACATAGTGTACTGTACATTTATTTTCTTGTGCAACTTTTTTTCCCCTAGGGTTAATGTTTTCCATTGCTGTTTTTTATTTCTATTTCTGTTGCTCCTTCGAGGCCAGCAGGAGAGGGAGATCAAATTCCTAGCATAAGAGAGTCTTATAAAATGTAATGACAGGAGTGACATCCTAACTTCTTTGCCATACACTGTTGGTAAGAAGCAGTTTACAAGTCCCACCCAAACTCCAGGAGAGGGAATTACACAAAAGTGTAAGTACCAGGAGGCCAGAATTGTGGGGGCCAATCTCTTTGTTTTATTCCTTTCCTAGTACACGTTCAGCCCTATACTGGCCAACAGAGTCAAGAACACTTCTTTTATCCTGTTAAATATGTCAGTCCTCCTTCTCCATCCTTTTTTGAGAAGTGCTTTCTGGAGGCTTCTAACCTCTTGCTGCAGTTTGGACTGTTGCTTTCTGGCCCTGCTGCACAGCTGTTATCCTAGGATTTTCATTTACCATCACACAGGATTCCCTTTGCTTGATTCCTGGTTTGCATCAGCATTTTCCTGGAGCCTATGCCTTTTTCCTTCTATTTTTCTACGGTATTTTAGAAATCTTGTTCGGGGAAATTATCATACTAGCAATTTTGATTTCAACTCTGTCTGTCTCTCTCTCTTCCCCTTGCCATTGTATTCCCTAAAGCCTGTTAAGCATTGGAGATTTGTTCCTTCTGAGACAGTGGAAATATAGATAAATTTTGTGCAGAAAAATGCATTGAGCTGCATAGAAAAGGCAAAAAAAAAAAAAAAAGAATGGATAAGTGAATAAACACAGCTCTTCTTACATCTGCATAACTTTTTTTTTACAGCTTACATCTTTACGTAGCTAAACATGACAAGTTTGACTTCCCATTTGATATGATATTTTGGCTAGGTAACGAATTATCAGTCGGAAGTAAATTTGCATTAGAATTTTGAAGGTGTTGCTCCAGTGTCTTCCATTTTTCGTATTGCTGCTGCTGAGAGTGATTTCATTCTGAAGTGTGAGTCCTTGTGTATGACCTTGTTGTCTCTACAAGCTTTCAGTATCCTTTCTCTATCCTTTTATTTTGAAATTTTATGACATCGTGCTTTATGAATCTTTTTTCATTGTTTTTTCTTTCTTAACTGTTTATTTTTTAACTCAGACACTTAGTTTTTTCAGTTCTAAATCATTTTCTTGTATTGTTTCTTTGAAAATTCTTTTCCCTTTGTTTTATCTGTTCTCTCTTTGTGGAACTCCTGAAATGGTCTTCTGATTTTCTTATAATTTCTTTCTTATTTTCCATTTCTTTGTCTTTTTGTTTAATTTTCCAGGAGATTAGCTTGACATTACCTTCCAGCTCTTCTATTAAATTTTTAAAATTTCTGCTATAAAGGTGGTAATTTCTGGCAGTTCTTATTTTATCGATCTCATATTTTCTTTTCTCGTATCATCCTGATATGATTTTCTTTCTCTTTTTTTCTTTTTAAAGTGTGCTTTTTTTGGTGAGGAAGATTGGCCCTGAGCTAACATTTGTTGCCAATCTTCCTATGCTTTTTTTTCCTCCCCAAAGCCCCAGGACATAGTTGTATATCCTCATTCTAGGCCATTCTAGTTCTTCCGTGTGGGATGCCGCCACAGCATGGCTTGATCAGTGGTGTGTAGGTCTGCGCCCAGGATCCGAACTGACAACCCCGGGCCACTGAAGTGAAGTGTGCGAACTTAACCACTCAGCCATGGGGCTGAACACCTGAGATTATTTCTCGATTCAGTATTTTTATGCTCTCTCTGATGTCATTGATTGCTTATACTTTTGAAATTTATTTCTTCCTTAAAGTTTCTTTAGTCCTTTCTCTGTTTTTAGTCTGTTTTTCATGTTAGAGGCTTTCCTTGAATATCTAAAGATACCAAGTTGATAGTTTTAATGTGAGACTGCAGCACCAAAAAGCCATTTGACGTCATCAGAGTTAATTCTGATGTGGCTAGAATTTGGGGAGACTCTCACCAGCATGTGTGGCTGAGGCTCGTCATTACGTACCACAATACAGGGTTATTGGGTGAGAAGTAGACTCTCATATTGGGGGATCTTTAAATGTTAGGATTTATATGTCTTTTCTCTTGGGATGATTAGTTTTCAGAGACAAAGCCTCCATTCCCCTTCCTGGGGGTTTGTCTGGCTGTCAGTAAGGGACCCTAGGATGGGGTCTCTTTGTTTAGAATGCAGGATTTCATGATTTCCTTTACTTTGAATATGGCCACACATTGGCCTGCAATTTTGCTTGATGTCCCTAGGTCCATAGCTCCATTGTTCAGACTCTCTGTACATTAACCTGATGTATTCCCCCCTAGGCGAGGGAGAAGCAGTTTCTGAAAGATGGAGAAGATCTCGTTTCAAACTTCTGAAGCAAATTATCCACCCAACCTCTTGTTTTCAGCCTCACCCTTCACTGTGGCTTTCAGAGATATCTGGTGCTTCAAAATCAAGAGTTTTTCCAGGATTTTGCCTAGATTTTCTATCAAAGTGAGAATTAAGTTGATTCTCATTGGTCTCATCCTTCTGCAGACTGTTTTCATCTTTTATATTTTCCATCTATGACTAAATCATAGCTTTTAATATGTGGTTAATAAATCAAGGGTTCCCTATCTCTCACTGTAGACTCCCTTGAAGATTAAAAAAATAAGGCAGAGTAGACTATTGTATTTTAGCCACCTGTCCCATTTAAAGTCCTCTGGATGTGTTTGGATTCATTTTAGGATCTGGACAAATGATTGTCCAGATTTAACATTATTTAATTGGACAAGAATAATTTTTTATGCAATTTCCAAATGTTTTCCTTAAGAATTCCTAAACAATGCTTGTCCTGAACAAACTCTTTAGCTGAAATACTTCAATAGATTTATGGCGCTAGATGATACTCTTTGAGAATACACTTTTCTCATCATGTGCCATCATGTCACAAACTGTAATTTTATTTTTAATTGCTTAAAATTTGCTACCTGGTTGCTTAATACTTAAATTTCCCCAGAAAAAAGACCTTAGACAAGTAGTTGTTTTTCACTCAGTGGAGTAAGAAAAAGGAGTAGCATAATAATCCAGTGTCTGTCGCTTAAAATCTAGGATCTATAGCTGTTGATCAACTTGAACTGTTAGCTGTAGGCGTCCATGAACTCAGGAATCAGCATTTCTCGTCTATCTCACCCATAGGAATCCTTTCCAAAAATAATTTGCTGCAGCACAGGTGAGATTCCTCAGAGGATCCAGCCAAGGTTGGTTTCTTCTTGTCTAGTTAAAGTCTTGGGCATGCTCCCTTCAGAGCAGTCTTGTTAATCGTTTATGTCATGGAGTTTTTAATTCCTGGGATGGTGACATTGAGCTCACAGACATAGTGTTCATTCCACTGTTGCTTCTGCTCACATGTCTAAGGTTTTACTCTGTTCAATATGTGTATATAGGGGCTGGCCTGTGGCGTAGCAGTTAAGTTCACCGCTCTCTGCTTTGGCGGTCCGGGGTCTGCTGGTTCAGATCCCACGCATGGACCTACGCACTCCTCATCAAGCCATGCAGTGGCAGGCATGTCACATGTGAAATAGAGGAAGATGGGCACAGATGTTAGCTCAGGGCCAATATTCCTCTGCAAGAAAAGAGGAGGATTAGTGGTGGCTGTTAGCTTGGGGATCATCTTCCTCAAAAAATAAAAAAAAAGGCATCTATAAATTTTGAACCACTGTCTTAATGCTTACCTTGCTTAGATGGCCTTATGGCTAATCTACAAAATCTATGGTTTAAAAAAATCTATAGTATTATTTTAATAATCATTAAATCATTAATAATTTGTACTCTCCTGTTTTTATTATTAATAATTGCCAGACTTATTTAAATATAAAGTTTTGTGACATATTTAGCTCTTACTTTATCTTCATTTTCTAATATCCAAGTAAGGGGGCAGAGTAATATCCTATTGGGAACTTGAAGTAGATAGGGAGTCAATACAATTCAAGATTTCACTTGGAGTAGATAGAGAGTCAATAAAATTCAAGATTTCCATTGGTCTTGCAGAGATAAATAAGATTAAATTAGACACAGCCAATGAAATGCAAAAATGTCGAAAAGACCCTAGGACAGACATTGCTAGTTGCCTACCCAATAGCTACTCTCCCGTCGCTTAATAACCAAATCCAACATGATTAAATACTTATCTTTCAGCCTTGCTTGCTGTTAGGGTTGATGATGTGACACAGTTCTGGCCAATGAGATGCATTCAGAAGTTTCTGTGTGTGGGAGAAGAGGCTTCTGAGGAAGTGGCATCAAAGGGACAGGCCTCCTTGCTTCTTTGGTGGCTTTTGTCTTTTGCCCTTTATTTTTCCACTTTCTTCCTGCCTAGAACTCGGATATCTGTGGAGGTGGAGTAGCCATCTTTTGATATGAGAAAAGACCCTAGGGCCATGAACACTTTTCTTCTTTAATTATTAATGTCTTTCAACACTTCTCTAAATGCGTTACAGAAGAGCTATCATGTCCATTCCTGAAATAGCACTGTTGTCAAAGTAGCTTGCACAGAACACTCATATAACCCTCATTAATCCATGTTTTTAAACACTTCTCTAAATGCTTTACAGATTGGCAAACACATCCTTTCACTTAAAAAAAAAAAAAACGTTTTTTCTCTTCACAGAACACAGGAATTCTCTTATAAGCATCGTTATTACGAGTCATGGATACTTTCTGGAGCAGCTGAATCCACCTTGGGTTTCCTTTTTATGTACCTCGGTTACATGAGAAAGACCATTCCCTATTTTGGTAAGTCATCCTAGTCAGATTTTCATCGAATACTACTGAATGTCATTCCCAACTGAGATGTCCTCCGTAGTCTCTGAGGAGACTCGTTTGCGTGTTGCTTACCTTCTACACCGCTGAATGACAAAGATTTCTGTGTCAAACTACGTCTCAGTGAAAATTGTTTAGTAATATCTGTATCTCTTGAAGGAACAGTAGTTTTGATCCCTTTCATCTTACTGAAACCTTGGAATTAGTTGAGACTCCTAAGTGACTATATGAGAAAAGTGAGCTTCCTGCCATAATGTTTTCTGTTCTCTGTAGCGTGTGGATAATCAGAGCTGTAGATGGAGATTTCTTCTTGCACGGAAGAAAATCTTAGGTGACATTTGTGGAAGAGGACGTACATGTCTCACTACTTGCTAAATTAGGACAACCACCCAGTCATCACTCTCCAGTTCTTGGAACTCTCTTCCAATGGTAGACCTCAAGATCATTCATTTCAACCATGGCATATGATGTTTAAAAATCATCTGTATAAGGTATGTAACAATTTAATATTGTGATCATTCCCATAAGATGTAATGTCTCTCTTAAGTACACTTGAAGTAAAAGTCTAAGAGACATTGAAGATGATATTTTTCAGAGTATGGTATACATGAATAATAGTCCAGTTGTACCAAGCTTAGCCCTGTGAATGCATTCCAGGAAATAGCAGGGCTAAATGAATCAGTGCTGTCACAGTCAGCTTGGCTTGGTCCCTATGGAATTGCATCCCCAACATCATTTATTCAAATCAATCAACATACAATTAGGGCTTTATTGGTTGATGACTTTATGTTTCTGTATCCTTTAGAATTGTTCTAATGGTGGATTTCGCTAGGACTGGCATATAATTTACCTCAATCTGAGAACTCACTTGCTAGACTCACAGTAAAACTGGCATTTTAATGCAACCCACACTGTAACCTATGATTGCTTATTCTTTGTAAAATAATCAAAGCGTCTTCAGATAATAAGGCATAATAGCACTAAAAGGGACCTTTGTGGAGTAAACAAAATAAAGAGATTAGAAAATGCCATGAAAATGGAGGAAAGTGCAGTAAAGGAGCTAAGCATTTATTTACATGAGAGGAAAACCTGTCATACTGGCTGATCAGTGCTATGAAGAATCATAACTATGTGGCTGTGCTAAATAAAGTATTGCTGTAGTCATTCAAATTCACTTAATACTTTTAAAAGCATTTTCTCATCCATTTTGCCTTCTAAGGCCCTTTAAAAAATTCCAAACGTGTACACTTCAATTTAATTTATGTTCAGTGTATCTGACTGTATTTTCACGCGTTAAATTAATTTTAACTTTAAAAACAGACTCAATGTCTGTTCCAGCCATGACAGAATAACTGGTGGCAGAATGACTCTCCTGCTGTAAACAACTACAGAACTGAACAAAATATGTAATGCACCTATTTTCTGAGACTGGACTATAGGCAGTGCAGAACTTTGAAAGCAGGGAAAGCTGCGAGGTGTGCCCCAGGTTCGCTGTGTCTTTCTGCCTGGAGCACTTTCAGTGTTGCCGAGCAGGGACGGGAAGCTTACGCAGAACCACAGGGTCACTGAGCTGGGCAGATAGAGATCAGAGTTGGGATTGCTCAAGTGGCTGGAATTTTTCAGAAGAGGAGCTTGATGGAGTGGAGCTCCAGAAGTCTGCATGAGGGTCTTGGTGGAGACATTGCTGCCCCTGTGCAGGGCAAGACCATGAGGCGTAGCAGACAGCGCCTGCTACAGGGCTGACAGCTGAAGGGAGGTACCGGAGGTCATGCAGTGCTGGGATGTTAGTGTTCAGGACCAGGCAGGGCAGAGAGGCCTTGATGAACACCTCATCCATTTAGCTGGTACTCCAGAAAGTTCACGTTTTAGGAGTAACCACTAGAGAATGAAGTAAGGATCACATTCCAAGGTCAACGACAAAGCCGAAATGGACCCTCTTTAACAAAGCGTGAAACAAACCCTGTAGGATCAAGAAGATCTGCCAGTAGTTTAACTGCCAGCCAAAGCAGAACTCAACACCTTTAAGGAAGACAATATAATGCAGATAATTCAGCCCAAACTCATGAGGCTGCTCGGAGTGAGGGAGGTGGCTGCGGAAGGAGCTGTCAGGGCTTGAGCAAGGGAGTGCCCCGGGTGAAGCCTTGGTTCAGAGGAAGAAGACAATCGACGGGCATGACACCACAGGGGTAAGATCCCTCAGGAGGACGGTGACTGCTTAGGGAAGCAGCCCACAGCAGCCGTCCTGGACCGCAGGGGACTGAAGAGACCTGACAGCTAGGGGCAACGTGTGATCCTGTGTTGGACCATTTCACAGCAGATATTACTGGGACAGTTGATGAAACTTGAACGGGGCTTCTGGGTGAAGGACATGTGACAGTTCTTGCAACTTTTCTGTAAATTTAATTTTTTTTAAATTAAAAAAAGTGAAGACAGGGAAATTGACATTTTTTGAAAAAAATGAAGCCTCATCTTTTTTGATAGTATTAGATCTAATGCAGAGCAAATAAATTATGCCAACTCTCCAGTTTTCTTCCTGCTCTATGGCATCATGTTATACAATAACATAATGCATCGTGTGCCTTTATTCTGGATGAGCATGAATTTAATCCTTAGGTCTTAGAAATATATCAGCGTTGTACAGGTGTGGGAATCCTGACTAATACATAGATATAAATATTCGTTCTAAATAATAGGTTAATAAAACCAATAATTTATTCAGGGCTAGAACTTGGAAGCAAATAAACCTGTAACCAAAATGAAGGCCCATTTAATGACCACCACAGTGGAAAGTGTACACGTATCCCCCAAATTTACAGTGGATTGATACCCAGGTACGTACTGATGCATTGTAAGCAAAGCTGGGAAATGCCAAGGAGCTTTTTCTTAGAGGTTTCTAAGCCCTTGGGAGATGTTCCAAAACTGGACTCAAGTCACTGGCAGGAAGTACAAGCTCTGGAAAACTACTTGCTGCTGCTCCAAGGGCCATTTTAGGTTATTGGGGCTTATCCAGAATATTCTCCTGAAGTGACCTATGAGATGCATGGAGCCCTATAGTGCCTTTCAGAGAATTTGTGCAGCTTTCTCCTGCACAGATCTCCTCATGCCATTTGACAATGTGGAGGCAATGGCGGTGGCTGTGGTGGTGTGTTTGTGTGCGGGGGGCGGGTGGTGGGCAGGGACTTTGTAAGATGTGGGGGAACAGTGTAATTTGATTAGAATCATTGAAGAATGATCTACTTTGCTGGCATCAGTGGATAGAAACTGTGTATCCAGGATCCTCACGTCTTCCCACGTTGACTTCTTAATCTCTCTGTGTGCTGAAACCTACTACAGTGTTCAAAACATCATATGCAGACTGTTGCTAAACTGCTCAAGGGGCAAAGTAACTACGGAAACTTTCTGGGGAAACAGGACACATTTTGATGATAATATTTAGAAAGAGGTAGAGGAAAATAGGTTCAAACAGTAAATGGTGCTAAAAATCTTGTTTCAATTTTCTTGAACATGTACATTGTTTTCATTTTAAGTCTAACATTCATACCATGAATTCTTAAAATAATTATAAACTTCATTTGGTATATCTGTATGTAATTCATGCCTAACATGGAGGCAATACTTATATTTGTGAAAGGATGAGTCTATAATATGTAAGCAAACAATGATGCCCCAATTTTACTAATGGGCTTCAAGTTGTTTTTCGATTATTTTTCTTTACTTTAACTTCATGAGCAATAAATTGCATTCCTCACTATCACTAGTTCACGATACGTTTATATTATCTTTATTGCCCTTATGTTAAAAAAGTCCAAATTCAAATTGTTTTGGGGTAAAGAGTTTGGCTTCAATGTCCTACTTGTTCTCTAAATCACTCCAATTTACGTTTATGGCTGGGATTCTCTGATTCTTGTCTTTCTCTATGCTAAATCAAGAGCTTATATTGTCTCAATAAATAGTCTAAATATTCTAGGCCTTACAGTTTGTGACCATAAGGAGAGACAGCACTTTCTTTTTATACCTGAAGTGTAATGAGATGCATCCCCATTGTATTGACTGCCTGCAAACAGCATCCTCAAAATGTCTCCGGTTTATTTCTGAGATTCCCTCAGAGGCAGTCTCTCATAGGCCCCAAACTAGCTATCTATCAGATGAATTCATCACGACACAGCGTGTCCTCCTTGTTCTCTGCTCCTGCTTCTTCAGTTTTCACTTGTTCACTTCTGATTTCTGCAGAGTTGCTTATAGTGATTTCACTGCTGTGGATACCCACCATAAGAGCACCAGAGCACTGGAGTAAAGGCTAAAGATACTGTTTCAGTATTGTACTTCTAGTCCTCAGGACAGCTGAGCACTTCGTGGTTCCATGTGAAGTATGGTGTGATGGTTAATTCTGTGTGTCAGCTTCACTGGGACCCGAGATTCTCAGATTTCTGGTTAAACATTATTTCTGAGTATGTCTGTGAGGGTGTTTCTGGAAGAGATTAACATTTGAATTGGTGGCCTTAGAGTAAAGCAGATTGTCCCCAATGTGGGTGAGCTTCCTCCAATCCATTGAGGGCCTGAATAGAACAAAAAGGCAGAAGAAGGTCAAATTTACTACTTGAATACCTGACCACTTGAGCTGGGGCATTGATCTTCTCCTGCCCTTGATGCTCCTGGTTCTCAGATCCTCAGACCCAGGGTGGAATCTACACCATTGGCTCTCTGGCTCTTAGGCCTTTGAACTACACCACCAGCTTTCCTGTCTCTCCAACTTCCAGATGGCAGACTGTGGGACTTCTCAGCCTCTATAATCCAATGAGCCAATTCCTTATAATAAATTTCATTATATATCTATATCTATATCTATATCTATATCTATATCTATATATATGTATCTCTTGTTGTTTCTATTACTTTGGAGAACCCTGACTAATATATATAAGGAATGGTTTCTTTCCCTACTCTATGCCCCACCCTGTTACCTGGGTCCAAAGCAGCTTTACTTGTGTTCTGCACTTGAAAATATTGTCATATTCTGCCTCAATCTCTCTGTTCATAGAAGTTCCAAAATAATTCCAAAGAATAAGTTGGGGATAGATGCCATGTCATCCCCTCTCTCATCCTCCTTTGCTCTCCTAATGCACTGATTCCAGTTAAATTTCCTCCATTTTTTTCCAGTTATAAAGTGAAAATTCTATGCTCATCAATGGATACAAATGGATACTAGTAACTGGGAGCATAAGTTTTCTTTTATACTAGTAGCTTCCAGCTATTAGTGTAACTTCTACCTTCTAGATATTCAACCAGCTACTCAACTCTGGATCAACTAGCTAAAAAATGACCTGTTACAAAATGTTTTCAAAGTCTGAATTAGCAGTACACAATCTGAAGCAAAGTTTTATGTATAGACCAAGATAAAAGAACTCTAATTTGTCATTCCTAGAGACAATGTAATGCCCTGACAGTAGAACCAGAAAGAACATAGGGTTCCTATCTTTCTATGCAGGACTGT